AAAAAATATTACAATTAACTGAGTGCGTGGAATTCTTGTAACTAGACGCTACACAGTGGAACCTTGCGACTCCCGACTTGATCACACCATTTTTTACATCCATGCTGGTTGGCATGTCTGAAAATTTATAAAATTCAGATTTGTTTAATTGAAATTTGGGTGCATCAATTTTGGCCTTATTAAATCTTTCTATATTTATAATAGCATTTACCTTAAAGGCAGATAAGAAAATGATAAGGCGGTAGCGGTAGTTAAGAACGAAATTAGGAATAGAAACGAACTTGGGAACCATAGCGGTCGCCAAGAGCGAAATTATGAAGGGAGATAGGCTTGAGCGAAGTTATAAAGGGAAATAAGCTCGAGAAATAAAGCGGCAGCTAAGAGCGAAATTATAAAGGAAAAAAAAACATTATAGACAAGGCGGTAGCGACAGCCAAAACCGAAATTATATAGGGAAATAACCTTGGGAGATAAGGCGGAACGAAATTATGAAGGGAGACAAGCTTAATAGATAAGGCGGCACAAGCAGCCAAAAACGAAATTATATAGGAAGACAAGCTTGGGAGATAAGGCGGCGGCGGCAGCAGCGACCAACCGCGAAATTATGAAGGAAAATAAACTTGGGAGATAGGACGGTAATCGTAGCCAAAAATAAAATTATGAAGGAAGATAAGCTTCATAGACAAGGCGGCGGTAGCGGCAGCCAAGAACGAAATTATGAAGGGGAAATTATGAAGGGAAAAAACTTGGAAGACAAGGCGGTAGAGGCGGCCAAGAGCGAAATTATGAAGGAATATAAGCTTGGGAGACAAGGTTGGGTAGGGGCAGCTAAAGGCGAAATTATGCAGGAAAACAAGCTTGGGAGATAAGACGGCAGCGGCAGCTAAAAGCGAAGTCATGAAGAAAAACAAACTTGGGAGACAAGGCGGTGGCGGTAGCGGCAGCTAAGAGCGAAATCATGCAAGGAGATAAGCTGAATATACAGGCGGCAGCGGTAGCCAAAAACGAAATCATGAAGAAAGATAAGCTTGGGAGACAAGGCGGTAGCAGCAGCCAAGAGCGAAATCATAAAAGGAAACAAGCTTGGGAGACAAGGCGGTAACGGCAGCCGAAAGCGAAATCATGAAGGGAAACAAGCTTGGGAGACAAGACGGCAGCGACAGCCAAGAACGAAATCACGAAGGGAGATAAACTTGGGAGATAAGGTAGTAGTGGCCAAAAGCGAAATCATAAAGGAAAACAAATTTGGGAAAGAAGACGGCAGCGACAGCCAAAAGAAAATCATGAAGGAAAATAAGCTTGGGAGATAAGGCGGTAGCGGTAGCCAAGAGCGAAATCATGAAGGAAGACAAGTTTCATAGATAAGAAGGCGGCGGCGGCAGCGGCAGTCAAAAACGAAATTATGAAGGGAAACAAGCTTGGGAGACAAGACGGCAGCGGCAGCCAAGAGCGAAATCACGAAGGAAAATAAATTTGGAAGACAAGGCGGCAGCGGCAGTCAAAAGCGACATCATGAAGGAAAACAAGCTTCATAGACAAGGTGGTAGCGGCAGCCAAGAACGAAATCACGAAGGCAAACGAGCTTGGGAGACAAGCGGCAGCAGTAGAAAAAGAGCGAAATCATGAAGGAAAACAAGCTTGGGACACAAGGCGGCAGCGGCAGCCAAAAGCGAAATCATGAAGGGAGACAAGCTTGGGAGACAAGGCGGCACCGGCAGCCAAAAGCGGAATCCTAGAGGGAAACAAATTTGGGAGACAAGGCGGAACGAAATCATGAAGGGAAACAAGCTTGGGAGACAAGGCGGCAGCAGCAGAAAAAGAGCGAAATCATGAAGGAAGACAAGCTTCCCAGATAAGGCGGCAGCGGCAGCCAAAAGCGAAATCATGAAGGAAGACAAATTTGGGAGATAAGGCGTTAGCGTCAGCCAAAAACGGAATCCTAGAGGGAAACAAGCTTGGGAGACAAGGCGGCAGCGGCAGCCAATTATCGCAATCAACAACCCATCCATTGAGAAGTAAGAACCCCTATAGCTTCGCTATCTGCGAAATAATAAGTAATTTGGTGCTTGGAAATACATTGGAAAATATTGAATTATATATATTTTTAATTTTTATAGTAATTATTAAGTATCAAAAATAAAAATTAAGTAAATTTTGGAATTATATAATATTTCTTTATAATGTATGTAAATTGGAAATAGATTCGACTGTAAATATTGTAATAAGATATTGATATGAAAATTAAAAGAATTTTCGTTTATGGTTGTTTGGGAAAAAAATTATAATTTTTTATATAAAGAATATTTGAATTATAATTTCGAGGTTGAAAAATGCTTAGGCGAAATTATATGTAGGAGATAGATTAGAATTGAAAATTGAATGAATAAATGGTGAAAAAAATATATATATATTAATTTTTGAAATATTTAATTTATTTTATTTATTTTATCTTTTTAAGTATTTTCTAAATATTCTTCGATTTTATTAAATATAATGTAATTAATTTAAAATATATAAATATATATTTAGGAATAATGAATGATATGAATTTTGATAAATATAATTATATATATTTGTAATATTACTATAAGAATAATATGTTTTATGAGGAAAATAAATATTTATAGGGAATAGGAACGTTTAAGTATCGGTAAAAGAGATTTATAAAATATTTAAATATTTGTTTATAAAATTGAATACATATTTACATATTGAATGTTTTATAGTTTGGATGTGTTTTAAATATATTAAAATATTTTAATAATATTTTTTTTTAAATCGATGGTTTCATAAAATTGGTTTAATGGAACTGGAAA